TCTAATTAAAACTTCAATCTGACATAAGAAAATGTCAAAATGAAATTCGAAAATTTACAAATGTAATAGGAATGTTGATATTTAACATTTCATAAACTATATTATTCTTTATTGTATTCGTCTTCTTTCTTAAAAATGTCCTTCAAAATTGTTAACGTAGCATTACACAATCAATTCTAATTAAAACGTCAATTTGACATAACAAAATGTCAATCAATCAATTCTAATTAAATTAGAACGTCAATCTGACATAAGAAAGTGTCAATCAATCATTACTAATTAAAACGTCAATCTGACATATGAAAGTGTCAATCAATCAATTCTAATTAAAACGTCAATCTGACATAACAAAGTGTCAATCAATCAATTCTAATTAAAACTTCAATCTGACATAACAAAGTGTCAATCAATCATCTCTAATTAAACCGTCAATTTGACATAACAAAATATTAATCAATTATCTGTAATTAAAACGTCAATTTATTGTATTCGTCTTTTTTCTCAAAGATGTTCTTTGGAATAGTTGAAGCTGCATTTCACAATAAAATCTGCAAAAAATTAAAACGTCAATCTGACATATCAAAGTGTCAAAACAAAATTCGTTAATGTACAAAGTATGCGTTGAGATTTAATATCTTTGTAAACTATTATTACTATTTTTCGTTGGTTTTCGTCTTCCATCTCGGAGTTGTTGAAGATCTTGATGATGGATGTAGATGATGGAGTAGGAGGAGTAGTAGTAAGTGAGGAAGGGAAGGAGGATGTCGGTGCTCGTTCGTTGAAAATCTAATTAATAAACTTTGCGGTTTGAAGTTCGACCTCGAGTTGGCAACTTCGCGCGCGCAACTACTTAATTAACTTACACAGGTAACTTATATACTTAGTTACGCGCGCGCTCGTTCATTAAAGCAGCAACATTCGATGATTATCATAATCATAATCAGACAACAAAATGCGAGAAAAAAATAAAGAGAAAATCTACGAAAAACATCAACTTCATTCGCACTTCAGAAGTTGCATTAATATATATTATATAATATATAGGATGCGGCTCATGAAACACTGCTGAACCGGATGTACTTCCGGAACGTAAACCGCAGCGGCGACCGCAGGACCTGCAACTCCTGCTGAAAGCCTTTCCACTAAATTAATAATACTAATGCAAATTACTTGGACTCACTGCTAAACTTTACGTCCTGCTAGGATTTTCGTTGCATCCTTTTAAACAAATCTAGTTGCTTGGAAAATTTAAATTCAGTTGTTTCAAAATTGCAATCAACAAAAGCTATCCAAAAAAAACTATACTATCGTAGAAAACGCATAACTCTAATTTAATTTGTAAAGGATAAGTATTCTATAAAGTTTATGAATTAGAATTTTAGAAATAATTACGTAATAGTTACTGCTGTCGCCATCTATCTAATAGTGGAGTAATTACAATTTTATTTAAAACAGTAAGCGATAAAATCATCATTTCTTAGTAGATTGTGTTAAGTTACTTAATGATTATTATATCAAAAGATGCAGAAAAGATGAGTCCTTCTAATGTTATCTTAATATTTGTAAAAAGTTTTGTAATTTTGAAGTTATTCAAAAAAAAATATAAAACAGTTATTAGAATTACCTTAATTAATTAGTATTAATAATTAAAAATATGTGATATTTAATATTATGAGTAGATTTGTTGCAATTAACGTAATAATTTCAAATATTTGCTTAATGTGCGAAATAAGTTGCATACCTTCTTTTTTTTTCTATAGAGTAGAGGCATTAGAAGAAGTAATATTTGCTTGTTCTTTGCTTAATATAAATTAGTTAATATTGTTATTATTAAACAAATTAATGAGATATGAAAGAAATTTGGAATTCTCTAGTTGGTGACTTTTGGTGTATGAAAGTTTCCGAGCCTGCATCAAATCGCTTACTTGATGATTGTTATATAAAAAGATGCACAAAAGACGAGTCCTTCTAATGTTGTCTTAATATTTGTAAAAAGTTTTGTAATTTTGAAGTTATTCAAAAAAAATATAAAACAGTTATTAGAATTACCTTAATTAATTAGTATTAGTAATTGAAAATATGTAATATTCAATATTATGAGTAGATTTGTTGCAATTAACGTAATAATTTGAAATATTTGGTTAAAATGCGAAATAAGTTGCATATCTTCGTTTTTTTTTCTATAGAGTAGAGGCATTAGAAGAAGTAATATTTGGTTGTTCTTTGCTTAATATAAATTAGTTAATATTGTTATTATTAAACAAATTGGTGAGATATGAAAGACATTTGGAATTCTCCAGTTGGTGACTTTTGGTGTATGAAAGTTTCCGAACCTGCGTCAAATCGGTTACTTGATGATTGTTATATAAAAAGATGCACAAAAGATGAGTCCTTCTAATGTTATCTTAATATTTGTAAAAAGTTTTGTAAT